ACGTCTGGCCATGCTGGTGATGGACGAGGTTCACACAATGCTCGTGGACACCAGCTATCGAGACAGTCTTGTTCGCTGCCCAGGCCGGCTGGACCATCTTTGCCAAGACCCACCTGTCAAGTGTGTGGGCCTGACTGGCACGCTTTGCCCCAAAGATGAGCGGGCTCTGCTCCAACAGCTGGATTGCACGGAGGACGCTTCGTACCAGACCTTTCGTATGCCGACCATGCGAACCGATCTTCGGCTAGGGGTGCAACAAGGAACAACAAAGGCACTTGAGAAGTTTGTGAAACACCACTACGACCTGTTGGAGCAAGAGGGCCGCGTGGATCGCATGCTGATTTTTTGTGACACGAAGAAGCAGGTTGAGGCATTGTCGACTCAATTGGCACGCACGTTGGGTCACGAGCAGTCGCTGGCCGTGGATGCTGACATGTCAGCCGAAGACACACGAGCCGCTCTTGAGCAGTGGAGGAGCGGCACGCAGAGTCTGGTCTTGGTGGCCACAAGCTGCTTGGGCGCGGGCTTGGACATGCCCAACGTTCGGAAGGTGATCTGGTTTGGCAGCGGCTACAACGGCTATACCTTGTCGCAGGCCTTTGGCCGGGCTGGCCGCGACCGACGGGGTGGCGAGGCCACGCTATGGATACCACGAGGCACAGCGATTTCGGAAGATCTGCAGCCATTTGCAAGCATGAAGCGCTGCCTCACCTTTGAGCTTGGTTCGCTGCTGGATGGTGAGGGCCACATTTGTGCAGCCGCAGGAGCGCCGGCTTGTAATGTGTGCTCCATGATGCAACCGACCATCACAGCGCGCCATCCAAGCCGTGAAGCACATGGGGCGCCAGTATCACACGAGGGCCAGACGCGGGCCAAACGAGCACAGTTGATGGTACCATCGGCGCCCATTCAGTCAGACGACTTTAACACGGCTCTGCTATGGATGTGCACCTACTGCTGGGCCTGCAGCTGCAGCAGAGACCGCTTGGTTGCTCACCACCAGCCTTCTTGCTGCCCGGCCATGAAAGGGCGCTGTTTTCGATGCCACTGCCGCGGCCATGGTAGTGGCACTTGCCAAGTGAACTTGGGGGCTAGTGTAAGGAATTCCGGGAATGATCCACCTTCCTTGTGATGACATTAAGACGCAGTTGTTAGCGTCAAGAATTTCTGTTGGCTAGTGTGAGAGAGAGCGTGTTATTTGACTGGCGTTGTCACACAAATTTGGGGCAGATTCGATGTTGGCGAATCCAAGGTTCGTAAGACCTGTTTCACCAAACCCCTCTATTCTCATGTTGACTATAATTCCACAATGCCCCTCTTTTTTTACTAAATTCACAATGCCTCTCTTATTTTACATGTCTTTCCAAATTCATAATGCCCCTCTTATTTTACATGTATTTCTAAATTCACAATGCCTCTCTTATTTTACATGACTTCCTAAATTCATAATGCCTCTCTTATTTTACATGACTTCCTAAATTCATAATGCCTCTCTTATTTTACATGACTTCCTAAATTCATAATGCCTCTCTTATTTTACATGTCTTCCTAAATTCATAACGCCCCTCTATTCTCAT